GCCAGGCAACTTTGGAATGCTTCACTGTGCAGCCTCAGCAGTACATCAGCACATGGCCCTCCAGGACATCATCAGCATTTGGCTTTTTGGGAGCTACCCACTGTTTCTTGGCAGCTCTCCACCCAAGGCATTTTGTGAGAGCTCTCAATTCTCTGGAGTTTTTGGAGGACTTCAAAAAGGAAAAGAACCAAAATGCTGAATACGGCTGTGCACTACTACAGTGGAACAGGAGTGCTTCACCTTGCAGCCACGGAGGAGTGAGTACTTCATGGAAGATCCTTCTGGAGCGCTTCACCGTGCAGCCCCTGCAGCATCCATCACCTTGCAGTCCCTGCAGCGTGCATCACCTTGCAGCCACAGAGCAGTGCTTCCGCTCAGCAACCTGCAGCGGTGCTTCACTGCACGGCCCTCAGGACTGCTGCAGCAGCACTTGGAGTTTTCGGAAGGACTCCTTCACCCCTGAGATTATTCCAGCTCTCCACCCCAGGGATTTTTGGAGCTCTCCACCTAGTGCCTCTTTCAGAGCACTGCACCCATGTTTTTTCAGGGATCTCTATCCCCTGGAGTTTTTGACCTCTCCATCAAGGGAAAGGGCTTTTTTTTTTTTTCTTTTGAGCACTTCACCTTTTCTCCGTTGCGCAGTGTTTTCTGACTGCTTCACCCTGTGTTTTTCTGTGAGGTGTTCACCCATCAGCTTTTCACCGCTTACGTATTTTGGAGTGCTGCATTCCCTGGCTTTTATTGGAGTTCCTCACCGCAGAGCCCTCAAGGAGAGATGCACTTCAGATTTTGGGGTTCTCTTAAATCTCTTTCAGTGAAATGTCTCTCAGGTCTTCAAGAAGCTTGTACATTGAAGCTTGTACATGGAAGCTTGTATCTATGTCAAAGGTTATATATAAATTATTCAAAACATTAAATGCCATTTTGGATTGAAATCAAACCTGAGCATCAGGGGTTTTATGGGAGTTCAGCTCTGTTTCTCCACTTTCCTTTCTGCCTTCCCTCTCATCTTCAGTAGCCTCTATTGCAGCCTATTTATTTCCTTACCCACACACACTAGCTTCACACCTAAAAATGCAAATGGGCATGGGACAGGCTGAGACATTTTTGACAGCAGTGAAGGAAATCCTTCTGCTCTGAGACCCTGTGCAGTAGCCCCCATAGGCAGAGGGAGCAACTACAACTGTTGCTTCTGAAGCCCTGGACATGGCACTGCTGCTCCTGCTGGGGCTGGGCTGTAGAACACACCAGCTGGAGCAGGTATTCCCTGGAGGGCACCTGCAAAGAACGTTTTGCCTCCTGACTGGAAACCCTGAGTGTACCCGTTTGCCCCTTTCCCCCAGGATTGGGCAGATGGTCACAGGCGAGCCAGAGCCACACCAGAATTGCAGGACTGGGTCCCCCAAAAGTCCAAAATTCACACGGCTCCGGTCATCTGCCCACAAAGTCACTAAAACGGTTTAACTCAAGGCAGACCAAATTTCCTCTGGCTTACCCACTGAAAAAAACAGCCCACCAAAATACTACAGACAGCCAAGAAAGACATTGCTGAATCCCGTTGCTCCCATTACAAGCTGGTCGTGCCTGTGCCACCAAGGAAAAAAGCCCTTTCTGGTCTTAACAAATCTATGCGCCTCTTGCAAAAGCATTTTAACATCTGCATTCCCCTTGTCTTCTCCACGTGGTTCCCAGACAGAGTCTTCATCACCAAATGGGTGCTCTGTGTGCCTGCAAAGGAGGGGAAAAAGGGGAGAGGTTTTGACTACTTTCTATGTGAATTGTTGAACCAAATGCAGACGAGAGATTTCGAAAGAAGTTGCTGCTTCACAGGATAACCGGTCCCAGGGCACAGACAGGCTTCCTGAACTGGATTAGCTCTACTTTATAGGAAAACACACACAAGAAGCTTCCCAACTCCCTTGCTTCCAGCCCTACAGTCCTTCCCTTCAGCTTCCCTCAAACCCACACAAGTGCCCCAGGAGCAGATTCAACTCTCTAAGTCAGCAGAAACCCACTTCCCTTCTCTTTTTGCTTAGCTCGCTCCCAGGTGAACCAACCGCATCAGCCCAGACACCACACCGAGTGCCAGGGTAACACCAGGTAAGCAGCACTAGAGCCAGAAGCAGGGTAGGGAATCACCCCTCTCTGGCAACAGTCAGCTGTTACATCAGTTCAGCTCATCCTACAGAAACAAAGCTGTACTTAACAGGAATTGAACTACTAAGAATTATGCTAAAAATAATAAAGTTCCACATTCTGGTAGGAGGCACCATACCAAAACCCAACAGAGCTACAATTTTAGAAAGCAATGTTTTGATAAAGGTGATGTCAAACAAAAAGATCTCAAACGAAGGCAAAGAAAACTCCCTACACAAGACATGGATTATCAGTTAACGAAATGACAGTCACAGAAACTACGCCCTGTAGTACTTCCTCAGTGCAGTAAAAATGGGATGGCAGAACAATCACCCGTCTCTGCCTGCCTGACAAGCTTCAAAAGACAATTAAAGCTCAACTTATAGCCTTTGAAACATCAATATTTATCCCTAGAAAAGTCAAAAGAAGTTTCAACAGCTGCAAGGTCAATCAAGTAGAAAGGATGACTAAAATGCCTATGAAAAAGCACACAACTAAAAGGCACAGTTTCAGTAGCAGCAAAGCTGTAAAAGAATTGAGTCTTCCCGGATCACCCCAGCAAAGGGAGCAAGGACACAGACATGGAAAGAAGAGATGTGTGTTTAGGACGCTGCAAAATGGGAATTCATCAAACTTTACGTTCATCTGTTCTGGACACATCCTCTTCCAGCAACACACAGAAGCACCATCAGAAACCAGACACTGGAACATGGCTGACAGCAGGAACAGTCACGACATGTTCCCCAGAGATGCCTACAGAATCTGAGGGCTTCAGCTTGAAGCAGTTGAGCTGTAGGTACATGTCTTCCCTCACCAAAACCAGCTCACAAGCCAAGGGGCTGGGGAGCAGATAATCGGGCTTTTTCTTTTGCAAAATGAGATGTCAAGCAACGCGCACCCTACGGAGTCCTGCGTCTTCATCTGGCAACTGTTTGAAGCCATAAACGACAAAGAACTGAAAGAAGGAGACATGGTGCAACAGATCTTTGCAGGAACCGATTATCTCACTCACTGTTTGAATTTCAGTAAAGGGGGCAGGAAAAGGAGGCATTTCTTTTAGAGAGATGCTGAAAAACTTCTGCGGGGTCAACCCACACACGATGAATGACCTGTGAGAGGGTAAATGAAGTTCAACCTTTATTAAACCATAGCAGAGATTACCCCCTCCGCCCCCAAGATACACTGATATAACCATATGAACAAAAGAAACAGACCTGCAATCACCTCAGAATACGCTTTTAATCAATATGCACTGACAATTAGAATGGCAATTTCATACCACGAGACACAAGTCTTTCTAAATGAGAAAAGAAGTAACTACAAGACAAAAACAAATAAAGCAACTGCCTCATTTATCTCCAGGAGTATTTCCTGAAACTGGACAGGACAGGGCAGTGTCTTTTTCACCATCAAACATAACTCTTCTACGCTTTGCTGTCCACCCTACACAATCACATTCTTTGCAACAGTGAAAACAGAAACACAAAAGGCAGAAGTGACCTGTACTACAGCAGAACTAGTTTTCACCCTTCCTAGTGGGTGTCATTCTGGAGGAGAATATTTGACAGAAACAGAAGGTAAAATTCAAGAATTTTCCTGACATGTAACTGCAATCAGAAAAGCACTCCCACTTTTAGTCTGTAAACCAGACTTTAGATGAAGCTAAATTACATGACAAGTAAATTTACTGAGATTGTCTGCTAAAATAATCTCAATCTTAGAAGAGTGTCTGTGCCTTGTCACAGATGCATCGACCATCCAACAAAGCAGTAACTCCATATTCCCATTCACTTCAGCAGTCTCCTGAGGAGACATCTCTGGACATGGGAACAGACTTTAAGAAGTTCTCTGTTTTACTTAAACTTCCAATGAGAATTCTGTAATATTAACATTTGAGCTATTTATAGGGGCAACATAGCTTCATGGAACAAAATAATTAAAAACCCAAACGTCATCTTTCATATCCCCACTGAAAATAGTGTTACAGCTGCTGATTATGTCTCAGGACACACTAAGAGCTAAGCATCCCAGATAACACTTCATCTTCTACAGCAAACTTGCACTGGTGCTACTGAGAAGAGACACGATACTCTTGACTCTGCATACTCGATTTGAGAGCCAATGGCATGAACAAGTTACTCATTACCTTTCTTGTGACTAATTCCTTATCATCTTCTCCAAGGCCTCTTTGAAAGCTGAACTTGGGTGGGAGGGCAGATATTTATAAAAGTACTGCTTTAAGCCAAGAATCCATATTTGAGGTGCACTAGAGCATTTCCAAGGAACAGCGAAACAGGAGGACTCGCAGCAGCAGGACTGTATATATTGACCCATATCCTCTTCCCTTTGAGTCTCTGTAGTTCATAGAATCATAGAACAGTTAGGGTTGGAAAGGACCTTCAGATCATCTAGTTCCAACCCCCCTGCCACGGGCAGGGACACCTCACACTAAACCATGTCACCCAAGGCTCTGTCCAACCTGGCCTTGAACACAGCCAGGGATGGAGCATTCACAACTTCCCTGGGCAACCCATTCCAGTGCCTCACCACCCTTACAGTAAAGAACTTCTTCCTTATATCCAATCTAAACTTCCCCTGTTTAAGTTTTAACCTGTTACCCCTTGTCCTGACACTACAGTCCCTAGTGAAGAGTCCCTCCCCAGAATCCTTATGGGCTCCTTTCAGATACTGGAAGGCTGCTATGAGGTCCCCACGCAGCCTGACGGTCCGCACCACAGGACTTTTACTTCAAATTCTAAAATCTCCAGCGTAGAGGCTCTGCTGTGGAAAACACATGGAGACAGTAATGCTTCCAACAGGCTACACACAACAAACATAAAATAAGGAAAAGAGCCCAAACCAGCCCAGACAAACTGCTAATTGTTATCGCCATACTAACCACTGCAGAGGAATACAATGCACAAGTCCATCCCAGCTTGCCAAGTTGCAAATGATTGTCCAAAATAGCAACTGAAAGCAATCTGTAATCATTCTCTACAAAAATACTTCTCTGTCAGCTCAGCAGACATGCAAAGCTTTGAATTAGACTATTTCCCCTCTACAGATACCTTTTGCATTATCTAAAAGGATTGCTAAGACCTTTCTCTTCAGAAGAATTTTTCCACATGCTTCTTTGCAGGCAGAAGTCACTTCTAATTGTTCATCCACTTGGCAAGTTTTTCCATCATCCACATTGTGCACTTGGAGTAACATTATCAAGTGAGGAAAAACACTATTTCTGATAGAAAGAAGCCGCTCCACTCTAAAAAGCTACAGCACACCCGTTAGACACGTGCAAATGCTGCAAAGAATTAAGACAAAATTAATACAAAGAATTAATACAAAAAATAGTTTATTTTCCACTAAGAGATCTCAACAGAGACACTTCAAACTCATCAGAAAAGAGCTTTAAAATAACATACAAGACCGCAAGGTAAAACATACATCCAGCCCTCAAAAAGAGCTGGAGATGTCTTCAGACAAGATGTGCTTCCTAAAAAAAATTTGAATACTGGTGAAAACCCATTTATATTTAATACCTTCATTTTTTTTCCAGTTCTCCAAATGAAGGCCTTCTCTCCCAAAGAAAGTCCTCCCAGTACCAAGACTCTTTGCCTAAACAATGAGGCCTCTCATCTCATTACAACATTTTACAGTAAAAATATTTGAAACACTAGTAGGCATCTTCCACCTCTCCTAAAAAAAAAGAGGGAAAAGCAGCACCATTGGACATTCAAAGGAAGTGAGGTGAGCTAACAAACGCAAAGGTTTGTTTGGATTAGCAGGGTTCCAGCACATCACTGCCATGCTGCTTTTCAAGTGTACGAGGGCTCAAGCTCACTTAGGCACAGTGCAAGAAAGCTACTGATTCCCAGCAGTAGAAATCTTCTTATATTTGTATATGAAAGCATCTGTCTTTCCAAGACTAACCTCATAGACACCATCTAGAACCAGAGATCCAAAACATGTCTGTCTACTACTGAGAAAGGATTCTTGAACACCATTCACCACGGAGGAAGAATTTCCATCAGCATGCAGGGCTTTTGCAGTGGTGGTTTCACTTGTGCCATCAGAAATGGCAGGAGGAGAGTCATGTTCAGCACACTTGGTAATGTCATCCACACGCTTGTGGAGATCATGGCTCAGCAGCAGTACAATAGTCCCTCCAACACAAAGTAGCCTGGAAATTGCAGGAAAAATAGAGGTTAGGCGTTATCCTGCCTCGCCTTCATTCATCTGGGCAGAACTCAATACTGCTGACACCTCAGATGTCACCTGCATTTGACAGAACACCTAAGCATATTAAGGGTCATGGCTCAACTCAGTAACCTACATCTCCAAATGGAATTTAAATCCCTAACTTCATAACTCCTCCCAGATTGGAGAACTGGACCCAGCCCAGAAAGCAGATTAATAATAACCAGTGATTGTAATCCATTTTTTCCTAGTACAAGACCAAGCATTACATCTGGCTTTGAGAGAGGGCGGGTGGTGAAAGACTATCCTGGCTCTGTTCACTGCAAGTGGATTAAACAGTCTTGCTGATGGAGCTCTCGTGATAATGGTCCCTTCCTCACCTCCCCTTCCCACGGGAATACTTTGGTTAGGATGGCCCAGCAGAGCAATGAGACCAGAAGACAAGCATGGCCAAAGGGAGGGCTGGTCAACACAAGATTATGTAAGATTGCCCTGCCATTCTATGGAGCTACCTCACCTTCTTCACCACCTTCCCACCACATTTTGGCACTGGGTAAGTGAGATCAACACCCACTGAAGACCAGCCCGACAGAAAGGGTTTCTTTTCAGCCAAGACATAAAGAGCCAGATAGATGGAACTGCCTGTTAGAAGCAACCCACTATTCATTTGGTTCAACTCTGACACAAAATGACAGGATGAGGGATGAACAGAGGCATCTAAAAGCAGACCAGGTGGCTAGCTGCATATTCCAGTACACGCTAACAGAAAGGAAAAAGCACATCACCATTTTCTGGTCTGGGATCCTTCTTGCCAATGCAGGCTGGCAAAAGCTTGGTTGTGAACCCAAAAGGAAAACCTATGATATTATTTAAGCAGACCTCTGGGAAAGGATTATTGCTTTATTTTCCGGGCCACGGTGATCCTCTTCTCTTTCTCCTTTCTGACTTGTAAAGAACATTCATGACACGCCACACTCACACCACACACTCATTCCTTGTCAGTTTGTGCTGCTATCAGCACTTCCACAGCTTGCAACACAAGCCACAACAGCCTCCAAGAGACAAGGAAAGGACTCAGACCTTCACAAACTGCCCAGGATGAACTACAGAGCTGGAGAGCGTTTGGAGTAGAGCAAACATGAATCTGAATGAACGTTTAAAATTGGAAACCATCAAGACACTTACACAAACTCCAAGCATATCAAAGGCCACACATACCTCTCCATTTCCTGGAGAATATCTGGTAGGACCTCTATGTCTTTTGTGATCTTGAACTTCTTCCCAAATGGAATATCTGAAATCACAGCGTCGAAGCTTTCTGAAGGCAATGGCAGTGCTGGAGAACAAAGGCAGGTCTTTACATCTGACTATATGAACAATGGGCAGCATCTATGCCCCCATGCACCTTACACAGCTGTCTGCCAGCTCTTACATGGATCATGGACCCAGACTCACAGCTCCTTCTGTACCTATCCTCACTAACTACACTTACAAAGTAAATGCAGACTGGGAAGAAACAGATGCAAGATAGCGTGGTTTCACTTGCAGATTCCCTGCTACTGGTGGTATGTGTGTTACTGGTGGTGTGAGAGTAAGACAGGGATGGCATGGTTCCAAACTAACTTCTGCCTCTCAACACACCTGTGCATCTTTACAAACCGAATGCAAAAGAGTTAAGCTTGCAAACACTTCACTTAGTGCAGATGTTCAGATACATACGTATGAACGGCAAGGAACGACACGTTAAATTTCCAAACATACCCTTTTTATTCCCCCAAGAATCCGGTGACGGCCAGAATCACTTGGATTCTATTGGATTTAGGGTCTATGAATTACCTTCCCAGAGTTTCTGCCCTCTTGGAACAGTCAGCTCCCTTGACCACAAGGCAGCACTGCACCCTTGTGGTGATGAAGGCAAGCCACACGCAGGCTGCGCTGGCCAGAGCATAGTCTGCATATAAAAGGGTAAGACTATGGGCTCTCCATCCCTCAGGATGCTCAAACTCGACTGGACAAGGCCCTGAGCAATCTGACCCAGCTTTGGGTTCTTATTAATAAGAAATAATGTTTCTTGCACTTCTGGTAAGAAATAAATATTGCAAGGGGAAAAAAAATGTGCATATTTCATCACCCCCACACAGGGAAAAAGACCCAGCTCTTGTCTGTCATGGATTTCATACAGGACTAATTTAGATTCAGGCTCTGAGGTCCAAATAAGGTCATAAACTTGCTACCTTCTCCCCAGACTAGCTCAGGAGCTGAGAGCAAGCAGATTTCCAATTCCAGAAGAAAGGCATTGTCATTTAAAATACGCCTACTGCAAAACATTAACAATTCAACATTGAGTGCCCCCTACTATTCATCTGGTAAATTTAAGTTGCAAGCCACATTTATCTGGATTTGTCCTCACTGTGTTCCCATTAGACAAAGAAACCCTTCTCACATGTATGTCGTCTCTGTGGTATTCACAAATTTACCATTATGACACAAAACTACTGCCCATGTCTGACAATTATTCTTTTCAATGTCTTCTCTTGAGTTTATTCTTACCAAAGTTCCCAGAGGCGAGAAGGGGGAAACAAATAATTAGCCATTCACTGGCACTATGGAGTCACTACTCACATTGTTGTTAGCTGTACTTCACACGACCTCAAGAGAACCTCCATTACCTGCATGATTTCAGAACCACAAAAACCACTCCAAATATGTCTCGCTTGGAAAGCCTTTCACATACAACACACATACCTTTCACAGAAGCTTTAAGTAATTCAATCTTATCCACCAGGCCTGCAGTCCTAATATTCACATCTGCGCCCTCCAACTGTGAATCACTTATATCAGCACCCCAGTAACAGGCTTCCTGTTCAGAGAAAAAGAGAAAGGTCATTTTGTTGACAAACAGGTGTATTTATTTTATAACCCCTTCTCAGAATTGCCTTGCTGTTACAGCTCTTCCCAGACAAAGCCCTTGCTGACAGATCTCCTACCACTACGGAGACACAGAACACAGAGGAGTAGGGGAAGTATGCGCTATCTACACCCCTTCCATATTCTGGTCTGATCAAAATACTTGTAACTTACAGAAATAGTGAGGCTATATCCTAACAGCAAGACCCCACCTAGCTACAAACAGCCATACTGCTGCCTCTGACAACTGGCTGTCTAATACCTCGCATTGACACCTTTGATCCTAGGATAAGCCCAGGCAGTTTTAAAGGCTCACACAAACCCTGAGGTATAAATCCAGGCCTCTCAACACCTGCCTGCACAAATGTGCTGCACTTGGATTTACATTCCTGTGGAGGAACATTTGTACTAGATCACTTTACAACTGTCTGAAAAGATCAGTTTGCTTTACAGTAATGACTTTGGTGTAACTGCGGTACAGATTTTATTCAGTGCAACTACAAGCCACCTTGCAAAGGTCCTGCCTGTTGCCACTGGGATACTTACAGGCCACTCTTTGGCAGCTTCCAGCAGTATCGTTCCCAGCCCACACATGGGATCCAACACAAAGGCACCAGCCTACAGAAATAATAGGGTTATTGCATGCCAATCAAGACAGACTCCTCTCCCAGGACAAAGCTTAATCAGGGATGTACACATCACCTACATACTCCCACTGAACCCAGTGCAATAATTACTCATTTACCAGGCCAAACTTGCCTGTAGGGACTATAGTAAAAGCATTAATAGCTTCACTAAATACAAGGCATCAACACATCCTGCCTTGAGGTGACATTTATAAAGAATATCAGTGGACTGCAGATAGATATTGGTATCAAATTAATCTCTGGGAAACATCACACTTGCTTCTGTTTTCCCTTGGGAGAACAACCCAACAGGGTTTGAAGCCTAGGCAGTGGAAAAAGACGTGCCATTTACACATCTATTTGCACAAGGAATAACACCTCTGCTGAAAAGGACCTGGGATTACAGCAGATATCTGGTCAAACAGCAGGTGACAGCCCACTCTGATCACAGATACGGTAAACCCTATGCATCTGGGACTCTACATCTTTGTCATGAACATTAATTTACACTGATTTCAGCCAGAGATGCCATGGCCCATGCAATTGTTGACCGCAGTCCTGCTGTCTTGATGTACTCTCTGTTTGCCAAAGGAAGCCTGCAGATAGCAAAAAAAAAAAAAAAATCAACATTCAGATAGCAGTACAACCACCCAGAAAAGCCTATGTAGTATGAACAAATGAACTAGACAGATCTGCAGGCAGACAGATAGAAACCACAGTCTGGCCTACATGCTCACATAAGCTCCACGCAGACCACAAGACTAATGTGATAGTGCAGTCAATAGTAAACCAGAAGATAAATGCTCACAGTGGGCACCAAGAGTATTTAGAAATCATTCCTGTTCTGACACTGACAAGACAAATCCAGTGAGGAGAATGCCTACCTGAAAAGAGGAATCCCCACCACAGAGTGAACATCATTAAGATGTAGGAAGATCTGAAAGAGGAAACAGGTTACATCAGAAACTCCCAACCTGACACAACAACAGCTTTAACTCATGTGAACTAGATGTTCCTACAAACTTCTAACTGTAGTTTTTGATAACAAAAATATATGCTTCAGAAAGTTACGATTAATTGGAAGAAATCTCACTAGATAATCTGAATGAGGATTTAGCATTTAGGCAAGCTGTGAAGAGAATTCTGTCAGCTAGGAATCCATCAGCAAGCACTTAAATCTTTAAGGGAACAAATTTTTGTAACACCGAATGGATGTTTTTACTCATAAAAGCATTTACTCTAAGCAGGGAGGTTGGAACTAGATGATCTTTTAAGGTCCCTTCCAAACCTAACCATTCTATGATTATTCGCTGCATACTAGTACTCAGGTGTTCAAGTACACCCCTCCTAATTTGAGGAAAAAAACCCAACCACCTCCCAGGAAAAACAAACTAAAACCAAAATAAACACAAACAAGAAAACAAAAAACCCACCAAAACACACCCCATGAGTGCTACTAAGGGGAACTTTAGATGGAAAGCATGAATGCAATCCTTTGAGAAATGTAAGCAGCTCAAAGTAATTGTCCTCCTGCCCCATAGAGAGCATCCCAAAAGATGACTGAGCTCCCCAACCGGTCTTGCATGACTACAATCCCTCCGTCCAGAAAGCCCAAAGAGTGATACTTTTGCAATACCCCAGACCTCAGCGTTTGAATGGTTTCAGAGCAAAAATCTGGACAAGAACAAAATCCCCACTTGAAGATCAATAAAGCTGTTATTTAATGCACAGCCTGGGAAAACCAGAACCAGTGGAACCCAGAGCTCTTACAGAAGGCCTCACATCTCCCAGCATCAGTGCTGAGAGCAACTTCCATACACCAAGCACAGGGATGGAGAAACACCTTTGGCAAGAGCTTTTGACAGCAATGAATCCTTTCCCAGGTCTCCAGACAGCTTGTACTGTACAGAGTGCCTTAAGCAAGCTGCTTGTCAGAAACAGGGTCTAGGAGGAGGTTCTTCCAGCATTCTCAAGTCAAGTTCCTCAAGAACATGACTTTACTGCTTGCCTACAGAGGCTGCAAGGTGGCCCAATGGCTCAAAATCTCCATTTTCAACAGTCATAGTCCAGCTGTTGTTAAGCATGCTGGATCCTGAAACATTGCCTATACAGATTGTTCCCCTGACTCACAGGCCCATGATGGCCATTCTCATCGTTATTTAAGCATTCTGTAAGGCACACACACAATGGCTACCAAGAAGCTTTGCTCAACACTACCAGATCAATTGCAGTTTAATTCAGCAGCAGGAAGACAAACAGGACAGGAAGAAGCCACGGCTGTGAGTGCAAAGGGAGCAGAGAACAAAACAAAAGAGATCAGGGGCAATGCTGGAAGCAACAACAGGCCCTCTGGAGGACAAGCACACTACCTCTACATCAGGGTCCCGCAGATCAGCCCGCCAGCCACACTGCTTCATGAGCGTCACACCAACGGCTCTTCCAATCTCCTGCAAGGGGGAAGAACAGTTACAGGCCATAAAGATAACACAGTTGAGAAGATTACAGACCACAGACTGCAGAATCCTTAGAAACACCTGGAAAAAGAAAGAGGCTTTCTCCATCCCTAGGAGAACACTTCATACAAAGACCACAAGAAGTACAACAGGCCAAAGTGACAGAGACAGGCAGAGAAAACACATCTCTGGACAAAATGACTATCCCTCAGCTGGAGGGCAGGAGGTTGAAGATCAACTACTGCCCAAACTACAACAAATGTCATCATTTTAGAATTTTCTTTCACACACAAAATTCCTAATGCTGTACTAAATTACCTAAGAGAAGACCTGTGAATGCACAACTGCAACTCACAATTTTCATGTTTTTATGGCATCTATAGAAAGCTCTGGCTATCTTTTGAATATGAGACACACAGCACGAATTTAAGCAAATATTCATGTTGGCAGGCTCATGTGTCCCACCTTCCCAAAGTACTTCAGTAGGAAAGAAGAATAACCTAGTTTAACTACTGTTATCTTCAAGTAAGAGAAACCTATATAAACTGCAGCTACACATGGTTGTTTGGGGCTTTTTTTATCTTTTTATGTTCTTCATGCTAGAAAGGAATTAGGGAGAGGACTAGATGGAAAAGGCCCCTGGAAGTCTCTATGCTACCACTCTCTCCAAAGGACCAAGATCCACTCCCCAACACATGTCCCAGGGCTGCACCACCCTCCTGGGGATCAGGTTCTCCCCAGTACTGAACCAGAGCACACAGAAGCTGCAAGCTCTGGGTTTTGCCCTTGTTTTACACTGAGAGGAGTCTGACTCCACTGTCCTTGCAATGGCCCTTTAAGTAGCTGTAAACGACTATAAGATCACGCCTAGGACTCCAGGGGCCCAGCTACCTCAACCTTTATACAAATCATTGATTTAAAAAATATTCAGAGAAACAGTGCCCAGTAATTAACAACAGCCCTTGTATTTCCACTTGCTCCAGGTAAATGCAGGTTAAAGGCTTTTCTTTTTGAGAAAATACAGAAAAAAAATGACATCAGTTTGTTATTGTAAAACATACAACTGAAATGACAAATAAACCACACATCTCCCTTCACTTTTGCTAAATTCTGTTAAAACTTACATACTTCAGCATACCTGTGACGTAAGTACTTTGGCAACTGCTCCACTACAACGGCAAGAAACTCTGAAACTGAAGTTAAGTTGCTCATTTGCAATAGCTTTCTCTCCACTGCTTTTGGAAGAGGCTTCCAAGGAAGTCTCGCTTGCAGTCTGGCAGTCATCTGGTACCACACGCCTCTCTCCAGCTTCTGTCTGATGTTCCTCAGACACAGTCTCTCTCACTTGTTCTGTTTTCTGCCTTTTAGTTGCAGTATCTGTCTCTTCTGATTTTCTCTTGAGAGGCGATGGGTTTTCTTGAAAGACATCATCTTTTTTACCCTCACACCCATGAAGGTCTCTCCAAATAGAGATAACGTCCCGCCAATACGTTGGCTCCTCAACGAAAAGGCTTTTAATGTCATGCAGCATTTTCCCTGGATGAAAAAGCTGGTTTAGCTTAAGCAATTCAGGCTCAACACTGGATTTTCCTATGGATTGAGAACAGCTATTAACAGAGACTGTGTTCAGATTTCATTAATATTTGAATGCAGGAACTACAGCAGCAGCACATCACAGGCAGAGCTGAGCTATCAACACCCACATCAACACCCACATACCCCCCCCCCAGCAGAGACTCAGGCACCCCTCTGACTACCAGCTCTGCAGACCCAAGATGAAATCATCCAACACACATCTAAACTTACACCCATGCGTAGTCCCTTTGAGCTAGGGATGACAAAAGAGGTACCAGGAATACAGAAGCAAATTCACTTTAAAACCTTGAAGCTGGTCAAAAGTAAAGGGGGGTGGGGAAGGATTTCTATTTCTCATTTTAAATTTTACAATCCATTTTACAAGCCCATCTGCGATCTCCCAAATTAAATCCCACCAGCACGCAGAGATCAATCCGTCTAACTTGAAGCGCTTATTCCAGCACTGACAGTGAATGAAATTCACACGGAATCTGTGTACTGAACATACACAAGCTGTGGACTGAAGTGACACAAGATACATGTCAGGACCACTTCCCTTCAAAGAAAATGGCTTGTTACAATGCAAAGGGTCCAGAACGGGACTTCAGTTTCAGGGTGAAGCGTCTGTTACATGCCTTACACATAGACATATATGTACGGGAGAACACGAGGTAGTAAGAGACCTAATACAAACCCCTAAATCTCCCCTCTGGCAGCTCAAAGCCATTCCTCCTCCTCCTGTCACTGCCTGCTCTTGTAAGAAGTCCCTCTCCAGGTTTTCTTGGGTTTCTGTTCTATTTTACACGCACGACTGGTACCGGGGTTCCCGTTTTTGCCCACCCCCCCCCCCGAGCACACTGGAGGGAGGGAGGGGGGTCAGTGCCGTACCTTTATTTCTAGCAACCGCAAGCGCTGGGTGCTTCTTGAGCAGCAAGAACAGCCGCTCTCCAGCCTTGAGCTTCCTCAGCTCGGCCGGGCCCGCCGCTGTGCTGAAGAACACCTTTCCCGAGATGCAGTCCACCTCAGGGGAAGAACAGAAACTGTAAACCACGCTGGGGATGGGCTTTGGGCGAGCACTCGGTCAGCTCACCGGGAGCGGAGAGGGTACACGCCCCGACCGAGGGGCAGCCATCGCTGCCCGCAGCAGGGGCCGCACCAGTCTCTCGAGGCCCCTTCCCGCCCAGTGTAAGCCCGAGACCAGACCCGTGGGGCCCCGCCCGGTTTCGGGTCGCCGCGCTCCCCGCCGAGCCGCAGCGGTGCCGCCCGGCCCAGGCAGCTCCTCACCTCCGTGGCGCCGAGCCTCGCCCGCACCTCCCGCTCCAGGAAGGGCTCCAGCCCGCGGCCCGCCGTGCAGAAGTACCGCCCGCCCCCCGCAGACGCCATCTTGTCCCGCCCCGCGGCCCTCAGCGGACAGACCGGCCCGCCGCGGGGCGGCCCTACCGCGGTAAAGGCCGGCCGGGTCCGCTTCACCGCTGAACGCGTTTATCACCGTGAGGGGAGGGGGGAGCCCCGAGGGACCGGCAGTGCCGGCGGTGAGGTGATGAGTGCGGGGCACTTCTCTCGTTTCAGCAGGAGACCGCGCCAGCGCTGCTGACGGGCCCATGAAGAGCAGCACTGCTGTGGTGCAGGAGCCGAGTCCTCATCCGCACCGCTTGGGAGACAAAGCTGTAGGACTCGCTGGGAGTGATTCGGCGCCTACAGCCCAGGGGGAAGCGCCAGGAGCCAGCAGCTCCCCCCCGCAGACAACCTTCTCTGCTGCAGGATGCACCAGAGCTTTAATTCTCCAGCTCCCGTGCTGTGTGGGACAACGTTCTCATGTCCCCTTCCCACTTACTTACAGAGGACTGAGTATGAAGTAACTCGGGTCTCATACACATAGGCCAGACTTCAGGTGGGTCCAAAAGGACACACTACAAAAGCAGGAGTGGAAAACAAAAGCATGCTTCACCAGGCAACATGCTTACCTTGGCAAACGGGAGAGCAGCTGCCAGGGCACTGCATCCTTCATCCCAGCTCAGCGTGTGTAGAGTGCTTGTGTGAGGGATGGAACAGGCACCTCTTTGGCAACACCAGTCTCACTCAGAGCTCCCCCCACCAGTGCCCACAGTGCTGATCTTTGATTCCCTCGTGACCGTTTTGAGCTCAGCTCTCAGAAGTGACACAGCAGACGAGCGTGTTGAAGTCCAGTCAGGTTTGGAGGGAGTTGCTTAAACAACCTCTCCGTAAAGAAGGCGGTGGGCAAGAATGCATAAAAGTTGTAACTCTGCTCAAAATCATCACCACAGGGGGTGTATTTATTTCCACCCCCACCCCCTGCAAAGAGAACAGGCAGATGCTATTTTCTGAGCAACTGAAGGTTTGGAAATGAGTTTCTAAGTGTGCCTAAGCCCTTCTCAGCATCACATTGTGAGGAGTCTGAGAGAGTGCTTTGGACCACACAGCTTTTAAGCTGCTTTCACACAAAATAGCTGTCACGTCCAACATCTCAGTGTATGCCCTGCCCAGCATTCATGAGCAGTAACTCTGGTAGGGGCAGCACATACGCTAGCAAAGCCCTCGAGACCTGTCAAGAGAACCCCCCTAAGGGTATACAAATGAGGGGAAAGAAATAATCACAATCACATCAGTGAGGAATCTGGACTTGCTGTAAAACAGCCACAGGTTCCTGATGCCAGGAATCTGGTTCAGTCCCGCTCCCTCCCTCCCAAAAAACACAGCTCACACACTGCCAAGTTTTGTGTGTGGTGTTTATTTTTTTTTTTTAAATAAAAGACAGGTTCCAGGATCCTAATCATTACTGTGCTGTTTGTGCAGGACAAAAGAACTTCAAATACTAAAATGCACAAGGCAAGTTGAAACAAGCTGTTTCAAACTGCTCAGCAGTGCAGGCTCAAGCACTTATTTGCAATGGCTTTACTCTTTGTACAGTCTGTTCTATGTAGCAATGCCTGTATATAAAGAATATAGTACATACTATGGTTTTCATTGTCAATTTACAAGAGAAAAAAAAATAAATACTTTTCATTCTTATTATACATTAACACTTCAGTAGAAAGTTACAGCTGTTGTGTTGGCATGACCTGCAACTTCAGGAGGAAAAAGAACATGCATGCCTACCTATTAAGAACTCTAAACTATGACTTTGTAATAAATTACAGAGGATAGATACCAGCCAACAGAATACAGATTATCTGAATTCAGTACACTTGTGATTTTTGCTCTGAGAAAAAAAAAAAAACAACAAACCCAAACCAAAAATAATCTTGCAAAATACAAAAGCCAATAGCTTGCATTACGTAAATATGACAAACCATGTGTGGTAAAGCCTTTTCTTCAAATGTTTGTAAATGACAGGCCTGTGGTTTTAGGCAGAGAAGTAGCTGAGTTGGTCCTTACACCCTTCACACATAACTAGCACCGTAAAGATGCAAGGACCTCAGCAAACACCTAAATTTCATGCTTAATAACTAAAGCATGCAATTTGCAGCATTTGTGCATGCTTTATGCTGTTTATTAAGGTTATTGTGCAAAATAAGATTCTCAACCACTGAAGATGGTTCTCTTACTCTGTTAAAATTATTAGCAACACTTCTGAAGGTTAGCAGGCCTGTGTGAGATTAATGAAAGGAAAATCGTACTCGTGGTTCACCCTTGACTGCTATATACAGACACTGTACCACTGAATTGGCAACGGAGAAAACAACAGCAGCAGCCTGAATGTCCTAAATGAAGTGGGAGAAAAATTAGTTCATACACACTGCAGTTTACTTAAAAATATATCGATATTTTCCAGTGGCACAAAGCTTTGTACAGGTGGATCTGTCAGTGCAAATTCGTATACATGAGGTACCAATTTATTCAGGCCAGATCTAATTATATGTATGTTACAATCACTGTCTTAATTTCCTGTTGTCAGATAGAGGCTGACAAGCTGTCACACTGAAATAAAATCAAAGTCAAAAGAATTTTTCAGCATATTCAATATCAGATCATTGTAAATTTTCCTACAATTTTGTTTCTGAACTTTCACTCCTCAGACTTTTTTATTTTTATTTAAAAAAAACACACTTTGTGTTACTATTTCTTTTTCAAGATGCGAGACTTGATTATAGCAAAAGTTAAAACTATCTGTAAATTCAAACGATGACTATAACTGGCTGAATATTGTAACATTGGTTGAAATTTTAGTAAGTACTGTCAGGAAGGGCAAACGTAGTTATTGCTATTTGGGGACTTAAAAATAAACCAGACAAACCTGAAGGCATAGACAGCACTGTTCCAATGGTGAAAGTTAGATAGATACACACCAGCATTCTACCTAGAATCAGTCCTTTTGCATTTGAACACTCTTTAAGTTATCTACAGAGTTCTCTTCCAGGCAACTATGATGACATTTACATGGAGATACGGATTTAAAGTGGCTAACTGTGGGACACACACAGCTTTTCAACTCTGGTAATTCTTTCTTGAGACGTTCCAGCTGCTCCACCTGGAATATGTTTGGTTGTTCAGGATTCGAGTCATATATCCTGAATAAATAAGAAAAGAAGAACCACTGATCAGTGTAATCCAACAGCTCACAGAAATGCAGACTAGATGAAGCAACTGTTTTTTTTTTCCCCCAATAGAGTAAAATTAGGTGTCAGCAAGTCTGTAAAAACGGTATGTCTGGGGTTAATGCCTTAAGTTTTGCTGCTCATGTTCCAATATAAAATGGCATTCCTTTTGCATAATGGTTAATATTTTATTGGATATACTCAAGAGCAACCCACTGGCATCTACCTCACTCTCCTGAAAAATGTGATTTTACAGGTGGCACAAAGCAGTGAAGTAATACGAGCAACGTTCCAGGCATCAAAAGCATAAAAGAAATTTCAGAGCCCTGAAATTATTTGAACATGCTGTGATACACTGCTTGTACATAACACAGAAGGCAGTTTGTACTTGCTGTTTCAATAAGTATTTTCACACACAGAGTTTAGAACCATTTTTTAAAATCACCACTACAACATGAGATGAAGAGTGAAAAAGAAAACAAAAAATCTGGTCTTCATTCATACTTAATGCAAATTTAACTACTTTCAATACTACATCCTCTTTTCACTTTCTTGTTTTCACACATGCAAAAAAGGCTGTAGGATTTGAACTGTCATCCTACCAGACTGTGCAAACCCAAAACACACTCTTGAGTTTGACAGTGCAGGCACTGAGCATAACTCAAATACTATTTTGGTGCAATTCAATATAAAGCAAAAGCATTCATGCTACTGTAATCTAACCTGCATTCAACACTTATTGTGACATCCTGATCTCCTGACATTAATTTCTAACATCATCAAGTTATTTATATCCAAAATCTAAATCCTGGCATCCAGTTACCCTCATGTGTAGCTACTGTGCACAGGCTCAGGTATTGCAGAACTCCAGGTTTATCTCCTTCAAATGAAAGCTTCTGGAAAAAGAGTCTTTTAGAGCCTTAGTCTTTTAGGAATATTCGTACTTCCACTTACGATTCCTTCAAGAAAGCGGTTTGGCTTTACTGCATCATCCTTTTTCTTTCATACCATAATTTCAAGGTAAGTCCAAAAGGAACAAAATGTCACAACCAAAACAATGGAGAGCTATATGATATAGTGCCAAGGTGCCTCTTCTCCCCAGCAAGACAACTAGTGAACTGTTGGCAAGTCCAAGACATCAAAAATAATGATGCAGCTCAAAGAGTGATATGGTAAATGGATTTAAATGAGGAAACAGAGGGCATGGATCACATTCCATACAGTAAAATCAAAGATAGTTTCTGTAAAGAAGCTCCTAGAAGTGAGGACAAATGCTGTCCAGTTTTATGGCACAGCATAAAATAACGTAGAAGGCACAGCAGTTAAAATTAGTTGCACAGCACCTATAACCCAGTACAAGCCTAAGATGTGACCCAAAAATCACCTAATAGAAGTTACCTGCAAAGGAAAAGCCCAACCTTCCTTTCTTCCAGGATGCAGGTACAACCTGTGCTTTCTTCAGCTAAGTTAGCTTACCTATTACAAATTTCTTTGTGCATTTAAGACAAAGCACTGAAATTAGAAGACAGTTTTTATACTGTAACACAACTTGGGAACTGCAAATCTTACGTCTTTCCCATCAGTCAGACACTAGAAGAGCAAATGCATGTTTCTAAGCCCCTTGCTCCTAAAACATGGCTAACCAGGTTTGTAAGCAGCTGCTGGCAGGTATTTTATTAGTTCTTTACTAGGGTCATGCATTGAGCATGGAACTGATGTACTTAGCTCCCATCAGGTGTTTTTGTCACCTCTGAAAACACACACTTCCAGCAAGTCCCAGTCACAGCTGGTTTTCTTCAGTATTGCTTGGTCCAAAAGCAGAGGCAGCACCACTGAAACAGTGTTTTCACGCTACAAATTTTCTGAAGCTC